GGCCCGGGAATGGAGTTCTGGGAAGTCGAAGAGCACGAAGTGGCCTACAGTTGGCTCCGGGCATTCAGAATGTGGCCCGGGAATGGAGTTCTGGGAGGTCGAAGAGCACGAAGTGTGTGACCGTTTGCTTAAAACGACTTCTGCGGCACCCTGTCCGGCACCCGCCCAGACCCCCCTGTGGAGTCATCTGCTGCTCTTTTTTTAGCCCATTAGAAACCTATCAGTCTTCGATGTTAGGTAACAATACGCGGGGGGGGGGGCCGGCTACTTTCAGGCCGCCATCGGGGGAAGAGGGAGAGTCGTATTCATATTGAGTAATTGTGGAGGAGGAGGAGGAGGAAGAGGAGGAAGAGGAGGCGGAGGAAAGGAGGAGGAGGCGGAGGAGGAGGAGGAGAGAAAGGGGACATCTCCCCGGGGAACTGTGGGGAACGGGCCTCCACAGGGAGTCCCGCTGGCGGACGCCACTGGGCGCCACCACAGCCCCCCCTTTATTGCACAAAGCAGAAAACAGAGCTGGCACCTCCCTGCCAGTGGACCGGGTCGGGCCCTGCCACGCGCAGATAAGGAGGCGGAGGAGGAGGAGGAGGAGGAGGAGGAGGAGGAGGAGGAGGAGGAGGGAGGAGGAGGAGGAGGAGGAGGAGGAGGATGGATGAGGAAGGAGGAGCAGGAGCAGGAGGAGGAGGGGGGGAAGGAGGCGCAGGAGCAGGAGCAGGAGCAGGCGGAGAAGGACAGACGAGGGCGGGAGGGGCAAGCAGAGAGGGACGAGGGTGAGAGGGGCAAACACGGGGGACCCGGGCGGGAGGGCAAACAAAGACACGAGGGGCTACGAGGAGGGGAAGCTCGCGAAAAACGAGGACACTAGCTTCAAGTTCGCGTCGATGCGGTTGTCCATCAGGTCGTTGACCGATACCACCAGCTGCTCTAACTTGTCCAGCTCCGACCAAATCTCCTCCGAGCGCAACGTCGCTTGGGCAATGAGTCGGGCCCCCTCGGGGGCCCCAGTCGGGCCGACATCGGGGCGCTCCTCCAAAGCACCAACTCCAGCATCCCGAACACGATGCAGCTCGAGGAGGCGCTTCCGGCCCGTCGATAGGACGCCACATGCGAACTCCATCCCGTCGATAGGACGCCACATGCGAAGGGGGGAGGTGGGGTTCACTTCGCTCTGGAGGTCCCGAACTAATTGAACCCCACATCCCCCCTCAGAACTCGCGGGGTAGTGGGGTAGTTCTCGCATGTGGCCACCCAGTCGACGTCGGCGTGGCTTCTGATATGGAGTAGGGCCGAAGAGGGCGTGCAAGCTGGGGGGGGGACTGACGAGGAAACACTTACGTCAGATACTGGGGCGAACAAAATCTCTGGTTGCCGGTGTCGCTGGTCCGTCCGCGCTTGGCAGCGTCGCTCCTGTATGTCAACATGAACTGTGCGACACTTGCGAGCAGACCAGGGGCCTCAAACACTTCGCACTTCGTGGCGCGTCATACGGAGGCATTGAATGCCAATCCGTTTTAAGCGGCCCCCCGTCAGGATAACCCTATGTCCCCGATACTCACATGGTGGGGATGATGAAAATCGGGGTTCCTGCGGGATAATGGATTGTTCTCGGCAGGTCGCAAGAGAAAGGAGGAGAAGCAAGAGGAGGAGGAGGAGGAGGAGGAGGAGGAGGAGGAGGAGGAAGAGGAGGAGCGAACGGAATCTTCAGGAATGTACGACCATGGCGATGACCGCGATGATGATGACAGAATCTTGTGAGTGCCCTTGTGGGTGCCCTTGAAAGCAAGAAGACAAACGAGTGATCATCATAATGACACCCTGCAGGAAGACAAACGAGTGATCATCATAATGACACCCTGCAGGGCGGCGCGGGCACGAACAAGTCGACGCTCAGAGGCTGAAGAGGACGGAAACGCCGTGGTTCGACAACCGGCGCACGTGAGCAGCTAGAGAACAGAGAGCATATATGATCAGAGTGACACGGCCTGGCAGTCTTACACTGACCCTCGGTGCGTGGCTGAGGTGAGGTTCCGCAGCGAAAAATTTGAAGGGCGACCCCCCGCCCCGCGACCCACCTCGCGAACGGCCAGCGACACGCCCTTCGACCCACACCACCGCCCGATCCCCTGCCACCCAGCGACCCACCCGCGAGACCCTCCCGCGACCCTCTGAGACCGCTCTACGAACATCATCGGCTACGGCAGGGTCGCTGTGCTAAAAAGCAAGCTCGACGCCTGCGGCGGGCTTCGTTACGCTCGGCGTCGAGCCCAATGAACATCCCACGACCTCCGCCCCCTCACTCTTGTCCGCCAATGCGGGGGCTCTGGTACGCTGGTGGGCCCTCGTTCGGAACAGTGTGCGCGTAGTCATGGCTGTTCCCTCCTCCTCCTCCTCCTCCTCCTCCTCCTCCTCCTCCTTCCCAGCGACTCATCCCACCATGCCTCTCCTCCTCCCCCTTCCCCCGCCTCTAGGTACCTCCTCCGACAACATCACACTGCCCCTCCAACCTCTCTCCTCCCCGTCCTCAGCCGTAACCGGACTGGCTCGGGCGGGATACCTCCCCGCGTGGGCCCACACGATGTTCGCTGATGTCTTCCTCGATGCCCCCGTGCCGGCGCCTGGGTGCACGCCAATGTTGCGGCGTACCCCATCGCCGAGGGGAGCGTGGCTCGGCCAGCGTGCAGGGCGCGCTGGATGCCCAGGGCCAAACTCGCGGGGAGGCCGGAGGCGCGATCACGAACTTCGAGTAGGCGAAGTTGGGGACCAGCGTGAAGGACTTGCCAGATGGCACGGGCCCGACAGGACGAGGAGGACCGATTGGTTGTGGAGGGGTGGACGGGGTGTCGGATTGAATTTGACCAACTTCGCGGAGGCGAAGCTGGGGGGCCCAAGCTGGGGTGCATGCTTGATGGCAAGAGTGCGAGGCTGCAGGAAGGATGTGCACAAGCACACAGTATGAGGTGGGGTGAACGACCAGTTGGTGGAGGAGGCAAGCGCGTCGCACCGCCACTTGAGACGCTGACGCTTGCGGACTGGGACGCGCATGCCGTGTCCCGCCGCAGCGTGGCGGGCCAGAACCGGCCGAGCGACGCTTCGGACGCCCGGAGTGGGCACGGAAAAACATGGACACGATGCCCAGCAGCACATGGAGTCCGAAACCGACAGCGGCCGCTGTTGGGCAAGCGGCCTGCTTTCTTGCTGTCTCAGATGGACATACCTCCGCGGCGATACCGATAAAGAGTCCTGCTCGAAATCAGGGATCTACTGACCCGGGTCAATCCAGACTCGGGTCAGCCAATCCTGCGGATCCTGCGCCCACGCGCGGGCCAATGTACCCCTGGCTCTGCAGGATCCTGCAAGATCCTGTGCTCTGACTGACCCCCGTTTGCACTGACCCCAGTTTGCATGGAGCCGCTGCCATGCTTCGTACCCATCCTTTCCGTTCGACTACACGCAAGAGTGACCCTGGGTAAGAGTGACCTCTGGTGCGCGGCTTTTGGGGGGCCGCGTAAGGACCAAACCTGGGCGCGCAGGCCGTTGCTCCTGCGTCGCGTTCAGCCATCGGGGGACCCATCTGCGCCCGCACCAAAGGTCACTCCGGCGAAGGGTCACTCTTACGTCTAGCCGATGCCAAGCTTCGTGCCCAGCCTTTCCGTGCCCTGAAGGGGACCTGGGACACACAAATAAATACACACAACTAAAAGGATTCCCCATATTTTCTTATATTGTCGGGGTTTTTGTCTTCCCCCCCCCCCACTTCCCATCTTTTCCCATATTTTCCTGGGGGTCGACGATTAATTGTGTCTGTGTCTTTTGTTCCCTCCCGACAATTCGATCGGACCGAGCGCTGACCAAACGTTCCCGACCGCCGGCTCCCCCCGGCGGAAGGCCCCGGCAGCGCTGCACGCTCGCCATGACCCCGCGGAGGGCCTCCGACGCGGGCCTCCTCCGCCGAGGGCGTCGGGGGAGCCCGCCTGCCGCTGGCCCCCCGTCGGTGGCGAGGCCCTCTCTGGAGGCCGGCCCACCCCGCTCGCGGAGCATCCGGCGGCTTCCTCCAGGTAGCTCTCGATGTTCATCGAGGTCCACGTGAGCTTCACCTCGGGCGTCGACCATAATGGGGTGGGGCGTCGCGGGAGCAGAGCCTGCCGCGTCCCCCTCGTTCTCCTCCTGCTCCTCCTCGTCTTCGTCCTCCTCGCCCTCGTCCTCCCCGTCACCCTCGTCTCTCCTTCTCCTCGTCCTCCTCGTCCTCCTGGTGCCTCCTCGTCCTCGTCCTCGTCCCCCCTTCTTCCCCTCCTCTTCGGCACATATATATATATACGTATATATATATATCGATATCATATATATATATATATGTAGGTAGATATATAGATAGGTATATAGATATATAGATGGATCGATATATATATATATATAGATACATATATAGATATATAGATAGATCGATATAAATATAGGTATATACATATATATATATATAGATATATATAGACAGGTAGATATATATATAGCTACATATATATAGAGATATATATAGATATAGCTATATATAGATAGATAGATAGATAGATAGATAGATAGATATATAGATGGATAGATATATACATATATAGATAGATATATATATATAGATAGATAGATATATAGATATATCGATATACCGATATATATATATAGAGATAAAAATATATTTATATAGATATATATATATATATATAACTATATAGATAGATAGATAGATAGATAGATAGATAGATAGATGTATGGATATATAGATAGATAGATCGATATATATAGATAGATAGATATATAGATATATAGATATATAGATAGATAGATCGATAGATATATATATATATATAGATAGATAGATGTATAGATAGATAGATAGATAGATAGATACACATAAATAGGGGGAGAATCGTGCACCTTCTGTGACCCCCTTTGGGCCCAAGAGGTGCGCCGTTCTTCAATCCCCCATGTGTCGTACCCCCCATTATCGGCTACGCGCAAGAGCAACCCCAGGGCAACAGTGACCTCTGGTGCGCGGCTTCCGGGGGCGCGGGGAGGCCCAACCCGAGCGCGCAGGCTGCCGCTGTCGCACCGCACTCGGCCACCCGGGGACCCCGGCGTGCCCGCACCGGAGGTCACTCCGGCGAAAGGTTACTCTCACGTGCAGCCGACAACACTGAAGGGGCCCTGGGACACACAAATAAATACACATAACTAAGAATATTCCCGAGATTTTCCAATATTTTCTGGCTTTTTGTCCTCCCCCCCGCTTCCCATATTTTCCTATATGTATCTTCTGGGAAATCGACGATTAATTGTGTCTGGGTGTTTTTTCCCCTCCTGAACAATACTCGACGCCCGCTCACCCGAGCGACGGAAAGAAGCCGCTCTCACGCGAGATGGCGCAGCGACCTTACGCGGGCCGCCAGGACGGCACGCTGCAGTGGAAACGAGGGCGCTCACGCGCGACCTTGCGCGGGCAGCTTACGCGCGAATGTCGGCGCAGTCGACCCCGTTTTCTTTCGTCGCTGACCCCGCGGGCCTTCCCCCAGACCACCGATGCGTTACGTTTTTTCGCAGCGTGGACATCAAAAGTTCTGGACCCCTTCCCGGGGTTCGGCTTTTCGCCCCGAGCCATTTTTTTGACAGCCCTGAGGCCCAGTAAAAGTGCCATCAGAGGCCGAACATTTGCCGTCGTGTGAAACGATCGGCTGTCCCCCTTCCCCCTCTTCCCCTCCCCTGGGGGCCAGGGGTGGGCGGTGCGGGGGGGGAACGAGCTCGTCAACGCTCTCTGGAGGCTCTCCGGAGCCTCCAAAGAGCTCCAAGACGGCCCAAGAGCGAGCGCTGGGACCGTCCCAGAGAGAGCGTCGCGACCGTCCAGGGTATGTGACCCCGCGACGGCCCAAGATAACCTCCAGACGGCTCACGAGGCCTCCAAGACGGTTAAGAATGGTCCCAGAGGACCGCCGACTGATTCAGCTCGGAAAGAGGCCGCAGAAAGATCGGGTTTGTAGCCCTGACCTGCCAGAGTGCAGCCACAATTGCCCTCCAGACCTTTAGATAATTTTGAGCTGATCAAAACCCCCACTGGAAATGAGATGTCGAGGTCTTGGGGCTCTATTCGTCAGCCCTCCTGGAAGGTCCGGGGAAGCTGGGGTCGCGACTTTGGAGAAATCAAAAGGTACCGATACCGCTGCTCCCCGGACCTCTCCCGGGGTGCGCTCGGACCCCAGGATTTCGAGGCAAATCCAGCGGTGGCGACGAGGGCCTCCCAGGGGGCCCAGAATGGGGAAACCGGGGCGACGGGTAGTGGCATGGGTACCTTTTCTTCCCCTGAGCTGTGCTTGTTTTTTTCGCGACGCTCCCAAATTGGGGGGCGGAAAGATACGGATACGTGTTGTCCCCGGACCTCTCTTGGGGTGCGTTCTGACCAGAATTTCGAGGCGAATCCAGGGGTGACGACGAGGATTCCCCAGGAGGACCAGGAAAGGCCGAAAACGAAGGGGGACAACACGTATCCGTATCTTGTTCTCCCCCGACCAAAGGTCTGACGTCGCGGTGCTTTCAACACCGGGTCCCCAGACGCCTCGACCGAAGGATTGCAAAAAAAACACGTTTTTTTTGCAATCCTTCGAAGGGTTTTTTTTGCAATCCTTCGGTTTTTTTTTTGCAAATCCCCGGGGTCCGTCCCTCCCGATGCGCTGCTTTGGGCGGCCCCTTGGGCCGGGCGAGGGCCCCTATATATATATATATATATATATATATATATATATAGAGGCCGGAAGCTGTGAAACACCTCCGTCCTGACTTTCTCGGTGCGCTGTAAGAGCGGTTTTTCGAAGGCAGATATCTGCCTTCAAAACATGGTTTTTTGAAGGCAGATCTGCCCAAAAACCGTTCTTGCATACTTTTCTGAAGGCAACTCTGCCTTCAAAAAACCGTTCTTGCAGAGTAGACCAGTCTTTCCTCCTCGCAGGTAGAGTGCGGATCCCTGGGCCACCTTTCGCAGGAGAGCCCAACATCGCATCGACAAGTCGGCTCGGCGATCGACATGAAACGGATCGGCGGAAATCGGCAGCCACGTCGGTAGAAGTCGAATCGGCAGCCATCGGCAGACTTGTAGAGGCCGCCATTGAGGAATCGGAGCCCAACTCGGACTCCGAAGTCGAATCGAATCGGAATCGGAGGCCATCGAAATCGAATCGAATCGAACCGGAGGAATCGGATCGAATCGGGCGTGGCCCCTGCGGCGGCCAGCCCTGCAGCGCAGGCCTCCCCTGCGATCGCAGGCTGGACTCCCCTACGCGCCCCACGAGCCGGCCCCACGGCCTGGTACGCTGCACAATTACGGCCCTCGCCCAGGAAGCGCTCTGTTATATAGAGGCCTACACATGAACACCAACACCAACACAGGGGGGTGCCTCCACAATGAGAAGATGATCCTAGATGTTGGTGCTGGTGGCAATCCTTCGGCCACCTAGGACCTAGGAAGCCAGAATATGACCACCATCACCGAGATCGGGATCATCTTCCCTCGGTGGAGGCACACTGCCGATATTGGAATTGGTGTCAACCTCGAGGCCTCCGACTCTGGACGAGCCGGTCTCGACCGAATATTTCGGCCTCCGGTCGCACCTCCCAGACCTCCTCGCGACGCGAAGAGAACAATCACGACGCGAGGTTTGTCGCCATTTTCGGTCTCTTGGGCCCTTCGCCGGGCAACGGGACCCTCAAAAAACGACTCAGGACGAGAAACCAGTCCCGGGGAAGGGGTCCAGACCTCTGGGGGTCCACGTTGCGAAAATACATCACGACGTCGGGGTTCTGGGATTCCTGTGACGAGTGAGCCGTCGACGGCCTCGAAACCCTCGCTTGGACCCCGACGCGCCGTCGACTCTTCGTTGTCGACATTCGACCCCCTCTGGTCACGACCAGGATTTGGCGCGCCCGAAATCCGTGTCCAGGAATGTCTGGTCACGGAGGATCTGGGCTCGCCCGTCTGCGCGAAGCGAGCCCTCGCCATCGCTCGGACGTCCCTTCCCTATGCATGTTCCGGCTTCGGTCGAGCATTTTTTCGCAAGACGATCTCAGATGCTCCCCGATGGCCCTCGCCGAAAAAATGCACACGTCCGAGCGATGCCAAAGGATGATTTGGCCTCGCCCGTCTGCGCGAAGCGAGCCGAGGCCCAGACCGACCAAGCAGAGGCGGCAGCTACGGGCCACACACCACCCACCAGACCTTGCCACTGCTCGGACGTGCATTCCCCGTGCATTTTCTGGCTTCGTGCGTGTTTGTCTTTTCTGCTTCGGCGGTGGACAAACCTCCCTTTAGTAAACCTCCCCTTAGTGAAAAGCGCCTGGGACCGAAACCGACGGACCTGGACCCGCAAAAATGACGGCCGCGACGCCCCCTCGCGAACCGAAAACGGCCAATTCCTTAATCGAAATGTCAGGGTAGGAGGTCTGTCCAAACCCGACTGCTCGACGATCCGTGATGCTCCTCGATGGTCCTCGCCGAGAAGAAGGGCACACGTCCGAGCGGTGCCAAGAGCCGAGACCCAGACCGACCTAACCAGAGGCGACAGCTGCATGCCATGTACCACGCGCCGACCCCTCGGCCAGGGCCGTCCGTGGGGCCCGCGGATGGTCAGCAATTCAGAAGGCCCTGACCCTTTGGAAGGGGACCTAGGTTAGGAGGACTAGAAAGATCAGAGACCTAAGTTAGGAGGGCCTAAGACATTAGGCGGGGCCCAAGTTCGGACCCCTTACCCTTCTGGGGGGGGGCCTAAGTGAGCGTCTTTTCTGAAGATGCATCGGACCAAACCGCCCAGATTCATTATCCCTAGTGCGAAGACGGGGACCTCAGTTGGGCTATGCTTCCATTATGTTCTGAGGGATAATTAGGGGTTCTTTTTATCCTTGATGATGGGATGGTATGCGCCCTGAGATCCGACGTCGCCAAAAACTTGCGGCAAGGCCAAACATCACGACGGAGACACTCGGGGGGGACGAGAGGGTAGAAAAGCAGAGGGTAGGGCAGAGAATCAGCTCACGCAGCTGGTATTATGCACGGGCCCATCCTGGCGCCGGGAGACGCCCATGTATCGCGGAATGGGCCCGGCGGCGGGGCCGAAACCAGCTTCATGCAGCAGATTTGTGGTTCTTACCTGAGATCCGACCTATACACAACAAAAACAACATCGTATGAACTCACGCCTGGAGCCCTAGACCCCACCTCTCTGCGTCATTGTTCGAGCCGGATCGATCTGTGAAGGTCTGAAGGCCCGAAAAAAAAAGCCCGGCTCGGACAAAATGAGACGCCAGGATCTCAAGCGAGCCTTAGGTCGGGCATGTCCTGATGGACAATGCAAAAAAAAAATTGAGAATCAAAAGGTCATGGAAAATCGTCCCATGACTCTTGATTACTCCTTCTGTAGAGGGACACGCCCGACTTAAAAGCGAGCCATGGGCGGCTCGCTTCGCCCAGGCGGGCACGAGGGCCCTGTTCGGCCCGGCCGCGGCGCGCAGGGGCCCGGCTTCTGCGCGGGAGGCCACCGCTGCAGGGCCCGGGGGGGGGGTGGCGCCGGAGGGGCCCCAGCCCTGCAAGCCCGGGAGAATACCTAGGGGGCCACATGCCAACCCTACCCCTACCCCCCACGATTTCGGAGGGGGAGGGTGGGGTTCACTTCGTTCGTGAGCTCCCAAACGAAGTGAACCCCACCCTCCCCCTCAGAAATCGTGGGGGGTAGGGGTAGGGTTCGCATGTGGCCTCCCAAAACAGCCTCGCGAGAAAAATATCGACCCCAGCCCTGCAGACGCTGAGATCCTGGCGTATCCTTTTTTTCTTTCGAGCCGGGCGTGTTCGCCCTTTCTCGGAGCCCGGGGCCCTCACAGATCGATCCGGCTCGAAAAATGACGCAGAGAGGTGTCTAGGGCTCCGGGCGTAGTTTTTTACGATGTTGTAAGTTCTTTGCTATGTCGGATCTCAGGGAAGACCCCATCTTTCTGCCGCATTTCTCGAGCCAGTTTGATCCGTGATGTTCACGGGGGGCCGCCATCGGGCTTGGAGTACCATGCGGGACCTGCTCTAGAACAGAAACATACCGTGGACGGATCTACCCGTTCTCCGACCTTGCACCGCGCCGAAGGCAACGGCCGCGCTGTCCACAGATGTATCCACCCCGCGGGCAGACGCTCGTCGCACTCGTGGTGGCCGCACCGAGCGGGGCAGCGCTCGTCTGCAACGAGCTTCCGCCCGTGGAGGCCTGCATGGAGCAGATGGGTCCTGCGGGACACGGGATCTATAATTTGTCTGTTTGTTTCGTGTGTTTTTTCGACCGATAACACAAAACTATGCACCACGCGGCCAGGGCGGGCAAATTCTGCCCCCCCTGGACAGCGGCCAGTAGAAGGAGCTGCCCGTGACAGTAGCCCAGGCGAGCGCTCGAGGAGGAGGGCGGCGAACCTGACCAGAACCTCGAGGAGAAGCCAGCCGTGGCGATCGGGGAATCTCCAGGACGAGCAGCGGCATGGGTACGTCCTCCTTCCCCGACCTTCTCCGCCGGAGTAGAGGCCTCTCCTCCCTTCTTTCCTCCTCCTCCTCCTCCTCCTCCTCCTCCTCCTCCTCCTCCTCCTCCTCCTCCCTCCTCCTCCTCCTCCTCCCCCTCCCCCCTCCCCCCTCCCCCCTCCTCCCTCCTCCCTCCTCCTCCCAGATGGGGTCCGCGCAGATGGGGTCGGAGGATCGCGCCGCTTCGCCGATGCATCACCGATGCACCTGCGAGGCGTCAACACCGCCGGCGATGCATCGGCACCGCCGGCGTGGAGAAGGTCGGGCTCCACATCGAGCCGCACCGGCGATGCGGCGCGACCCTCCGACCCCATCTCCTCGGACCCAAGTACACCACGCGAAATGGTTAAGAAATCATGGGTTAAGAAATTAATGGTCTCAGAACTTGAATAAAAACCCAAAAATTCGATTCAAATCTTAGGATTTACATTGAAACGTTAAGAATAATCGAGACTCTGGCCGAAAATTTAGGTTTTCTTAAGCATCGCCTAAGGTGTAGGGAGGCCTGGAGACCCAGTACCCGACGTCATGATTGTTTTGTAACGTCGACTTCCAGAGGTCTCGACCCATTCCCTGGGACAGGTGTTTCGTCCTGAGTCGTGTGTTGGCGGTCGCGGGGCCCAGAAAGGGCCCCTGGGGCCCTGTAAAGGTCCCTAGGAAGAAGCCAAACATCTGCTGATGCTATCGGCGTGTGTGAGCGGCTTGTCTGCTCGTCGTCGTCTCCGCCAGTCGTCGTCTCCGTCGTCCCAACTCCCTGCGCCCTCCTCCTCAAGTCTGTCAGCGAGGAATCAATTCAGCAGTGTCGCAATCGAGCCGAAGGGGAGACCCTTCCCTTTGATCCCTTCCTCGTCGGGGGGGAGAGCCCTGGGGACGCAACGGGGGGGTCCCCGGGGGGGTCCCGGGGGGGCGGGGCTCAGATACGCATCCCCCCGTGGGGCCTGGGGGTCCTGCGGCCCCCGAGAGTACCAAGACAGGCCAAGAGTGCCCCGAGAGGCCCCCGAGACGGTCCAAGAGGGCCCCCAATCGCCAAACTGTCGGTCCAAAACGCCCTCACGTCCTCCAGAGTGCCCGAGAGGCCGCCAAGACGTCCCAGGAAGCCTCCAAGAGCACTTCCGAGCACGGCCCCGCGGGGCGAAGTCATTGTTCGTCATTGTGCTTTTCTTCAGGGTCTGGGCGCTCCCCCCTTTTTCGCTCCACGCCGCTCCAAGACGGTCCAAGAGGCCCCCAAGATCGCCTCAAGACGGCCCAAGTGGCCTCCACGAGGGCACCCAGACAGCCCAAGAGGACCCCAAGACGCCCCACACCGCCTCCAAGACGGCCCACGAGGGCCCCAAGACGGCTCAAAGAGCGTGCCCAGACGGGGGACCCGAACGGACATTTCAAGCCCTCAGCCCGGAGAGGCTCTCAGGAGGCTCCAAGAGGTTCCCAAGAGGCCCCAAGACGCCCACAAGGTCCCCAGGCAGCCCGACGAGGCCCCACGAGGCTTCCAGGAGGCCCCCAGGAGGCTCCCCAAAAGGCCTCAACATTCCTCTCCAGAGGCCTTCGAGAGCCTTCCGAAGAGACCCCAAGAAGCATCCATCTAGCCGACGTCGGCGTCGTCGCCGCCGCCGCCGCCGTTGTCGTCGTCCCCCTTCGGGGTCGGCGGCGCCGGCCGTAAGGCCTTCGCCATCGGACCTGGCGAAAAACCTTCCGTCATGATTTCTTCATTGTCCGATCGGGGGCGCCCAAGAGGGGGGCGTCCAAGAGCGGGGGCGTCCAAGAGGGGGGCGTCCAAGAGGGGGGCGTCCAAGAGGGCGTCCAAGAGGGGGGCGTCCAGGAGCGGGGGGCGTCCAAGAGCGGGGGGCGTTCATTGTACGATCGGGGGCGTCCAAGAGGGGGGCGTCCAAGAGCGGGGGGCGCAAATCATGGCCGGCGTCACGTGCACGTT